ACCTCAGCCAACCACCCACCAGAACCCGACAGCCACCCCGGCAAGCGGGCCATCCATAGCAACCAGGAGCCACATTCCAGGAGTCCAAGCAGCACCAGGGAGGATGTTTTTACTGTTAGAATAATCTATTAAATTAAATAATCTGCTTGAATTTGTAGATGAGTGCCTTCCTTTTATAAAACCAGTTTGGTCAGGATGGATTTTGAGAGGAGTTATCTTCTCTAATCTTTTGGAGAGGGCCTTGCAAATTGTTTTAAGATCAACATTAATAAGGGAAATAGGACGATAACTGGTTGGGAATACAGGGTCTTTGCCAGGTTTTAATAGGAGACTGATGGTGGCCAATGGAAGTCTGCCATGTTCCTCTGACTCCTGTAACATTCTGAGAAATACTGGTACCAGGATATTCCAGAATTCTTTATAGAATTCTGCTGGAAAACCATCTGTGCCTGGAGTTTTTTTATTAGGCATGCTTTTTATGGCGTCACAGAGTTCAACTGATGTTAGTGGGGAGTCCAGTTCTAATCAGTGGCGGATGCTGGTCTTTCAAGATGAGGAAGCTCAGTTTCGGCCTATATCATAAAATGTGTGGGTTATAAATTCTACTCTCCATTCCTTTTCTAGAAACTGATCCCTGTCACAGATCGGTGACAGCCACAGATGGGGCTGTTGGGGCCTGCATCTAAGATTTTGTCACTTCAGCCTCTTAGTTTAGTAGATTTGCAATAAGTGCTTTGATTGGATGAAAAAAGCCTGTCTGTGATTGGCTGGTGATGTGGTTCATTTACATATAACTTTTGGGTTGAGAGCGCTGAGACATCTGTGAGCGAGTGAAGGGGAAGTTGAGAGGAGGAAGCGAGCCACGCAAGCAGACATAAAAGCCCCTTTCATAAGTCAAATCCGCGCAACTGCTGCACAGACCAGTCCAGCTTTAAGCCTCCCCGGGACATTCATAAGACCACGGGTGAAGGTGGGCAGGTCCCGCTCACATAAACGTGTTCATAAATGAACCCACAGCGCAGATCCAAAAGAGGCGTGGAGCAGAACTCAGCTGAGCTGAACTGGACCGCAACATATTTATTATGGGACAGACACCTGCTGCCTCGTATCAAACAAAACAACTGAATTAGCTCACTTTAGTGATTCGGTGGCCTGCTGCTGTGTCATAGCCTATCCAAAAAAAATGGATGAATGAACAAAATCAGCTCTTTATAGCGAACCTGTAGCTCAATACTTTATAAACTAACCAGCTACAAATTTGCTGTTCTGTGTCGTCTTTAATACGCCCCCCAGTAACAAATCTCCAGCCGCACTGACATCTTCCTATCAAGCGTGCACACACACACACACACACCACACAGCCCCCCCGCTGCTCACTGGCCCTGCGTTATCGAGAAAAAAGAAGGAAAAAAAACAACAAAACTAACGCAGCCTATAAGTTGCTGTTTTGTGTCATTTTTAATATTCCCTCAGTAATAAATCTCCAGCTGCACTGACGTATCAAGCGCGCACAATACACATCACACAGCCCTTCCGCTGCTCCACTCTACGTTAGAGAGGGAAAAAAAGAACGAAACAAGTTGCTGTTTCGTGTCATTTTTAATATTCACTTATTAATAAATCTGCCTGGTGATTAATCCCGTGGTTGCTCACATATGTCATCATCATATTCTGAGCGCGGATCCGCAGGTTGCTTTCACAAGTGGGTTTGCCCGGCTCGGATTTGGATCTGATAGTACCTCGCAGATCAGGGGCGCATCAGAGGCAAGTAAAATTTATTCGCCTATCTGCCTTCATGTTTTCTTCTGAATGCTCGTTGGAGGACTGAACACGCATCAGGCCTGTACTGAGCCATTTTATGAAAGGGGCTAAAGTTAAGAGGAGGGAGGGAAGGAGCCGCGCGAGCAGAGGCAAAGTTGAGAGGAGAGGATGAAGGAGCTGCGCGAGCAGACACAAAGTTGAGAGTAGGGAGGGAAGGAGTTGAGCACAAACAGGAAGAGTGTTGAGCAAGCAGGGAGGGAGCTGCGTGAGCATGTGTGTTATTTGAATGCACACGGTTCAAATTATTGTTTCTTCATATTGATATCCGCTCTCAAATCGGTGTTACTGTGTGCGCAAAGCTGATGGCACAAGTGTAACGCCATAAGTGTGAGGTGTGTTGGCAGAATGACTCAGGGCACAGGCAAAAGTTCACAAATGTAAAAATAAAGTTTATTACCAAAGGAGGGTTGTCGTGGCAACAAAACTCACAAGTATCATCAGGTAGACAAAAGCACAAGGAACACAGAGGACATCACACTGGCTGGTAACAGCACAATGATCCAACGACAGACTGAAGACAAAGACACAAAATATAATGGCAGCTAATGAGAGACAACCGGGAGGAGACACAAGAGGAAACAGGTGAGCTTGGGCGGGGCTGGAGGAATGACAAACAGCAGGGCAGAGATATACAGGGAAACACTGAAATGCTAGAAAAAACAAAGAAAGATAAACACAGACCATGACAGTACCTCCCCCTTAATGATGGCTCCAGACATCAAAAAAGGAGAGGCACGGGACTCAGGAAACAGAGTTCTGGAGGATGGCCCAAAGACCATCCAACATGGAGCAGGAGATCTGGAGGTCGGCAAGGACCATCCACTGTGGGGTCCAGCAGGAACAGGAGGCCTGGAACTGACATGGAGCCATGGGAAGAGGCGGGAGCAGACGTGGAGTCAAGGGACGAGGCGGGAGCAGACGAGGAGACAGGAGAGGAGGTGGGAGCAGACGTGGAGTCAAGGGAGGAGGCGGGAGCAGACGAGGAGCCAGGGGAGGAGGTGGGAGGCGATGAAGAGCCAGCAGAGGTTGCTGGAGACAGAGTCATCTGGATGTAAAACACAGGCGACAGAGGGGACGAAAAAGTGATGGCTGACAACCCAGGTGACAAGGAGGCAATGGCTAACAACAGAGGGGACAAAGAGGTGATGGCTGACGACCCAGGTAATGAAGAGGTGATGGCTGACGACCCAAGTGATGAGGATGTGATAGCTGATGACAGGTGATGAGGAGGCAATGGCTGACGACCCAGGTGACAAGGAAGTGGCAACAGCAGCCGACCCACAAACCTCAAGGACTGCTGACGCAGGAAAGGGAATCGCCAACTCAGGAAGAGAGGATTCAGAACACTCAGGAGCCAGTATAGCCGGCTCGGCCACCGAAGACTCAGGACCAAGAGGGGTGGGAGAGTGGGCACCAGAGCTCTCAGCTTGAACCCTCTGAGCAAAACTGAGGACCCTCTGGTAGCCAGGCAGGAGCAGCAGATCTGGACGTCCAGCCAAAACGTCCTCAAGCTGCTGGCAGATGAGCCATTTGTCATGAGAGAGGAGGTCCACTGGAGGTTCATGAGAGATCCTTTGATCAGGGAGTGCATCACCTGGTCCTCCCACAGCAGCAGAGATGTGACCGGCTCCTCAGAGGCAGAGGGAGGAGAACCAGCTGTGGGGAAGCCAGGTAACGCCAAAGATCCCCAGCCGAAGGTGGAGGAAGGCTGTATTGCCGAAGATCCTCAGCGGAAGGTGGAGGAAGGCCTGGGAGTGGGGCGGCACAGAAAAACCCTCATCAGCCTTCAAATCAGAAAAAAAATTGCCTGTGGGCTGGGGACCTTGGTCGGATCATTCTAAAACCATCTTACCAAAAGCACTTTACTGAGCAGGGGTGGCACAGGCCACGGGGCTCCGAGTTGTACATGTGGCCCTTGCTGGTGTGGAAATGGGTGGCCTGCTCAGAAAAGATGGTAGAGATGACTACTGGTTTCTCCTCCATGGGAGATGAAGGTGGAGAAGCGGGCGCAGAAGTATCTGGTGGCGTTGAAGATTCTAAACAAAAACACGTTCGCCAGAACGTTAGCCTGTTATGATAGCTGTTGCCACACGCATGGCTAAACACAACAGCAAGCTAGCCAGCTAGCCACTCAAACTAAATAAACACAGACCCACAACATAATTTTAACTGGATTGAGAAAAATCACATTTGGTACAATAAAACAAGCAATAAGACAAACTCACCATCTTCCATCATCCTCTCTGAGAGACAGAGTCCAGGGCAATTTGTCTTGTGTTGCTGAAGGGCCTATGGCCAAAAATTTGGTCCATTCTTTTGAACCACCGCCAATCCTTCTGCCCTCGTCCACTTGTGGTATTTTATTGACTGGTAGTCAGACTTCAACTTCTTCAACTAATTGAAGCTATAAACAGGCACTGAGAAAAAACTGTTAGTAGAGTTTTAAAAGTTTTGAACTGTGAGTGACAGAAGACTCTGATGGTCACACATGAATGTTTCAGTTTTCACACAGTCCTCCAGCAGTGCAACCCTAAACTTGTCTTATCTATACAGGAGATACCACAAATTTAAAAGACCCTTTTTGAAGAGAATACAGTATTTTGAGCTAAACATAACTAAATTTGTGGAATCTTGGTATTTACCCTCTGAGTTCTGAGATAAAACCATTAGTCCTATAGCAGTGAGAGAGACTGGCTGAGTGAAGACACAAACATTTTGATGTACAGATATGGATAAATAAATTGTACATATTTGTTTAAAAAAACACAATGGTAACAAAATAATTAACAAATAACATATAAAATTAGTAATAAGAGAAAAAAAATACTAAAAATCTACTAATGAACATCAGTCATTTCTTTTGAATTGTAGTTCAACAGAAATAAAGCTCAAAATAGCAGGCCTGTATTGAAAGCTAACTGTAGCAAAAAGATAACTAAAAGAACAGTAACTAAAAGTGGAAGACATTAGATAAAAGTATGCTAACACTAACATTTTGAGGAAATTGAGTGCATTTCTTCGGAAGATTGTATTTTAAGTTAAGGTAAATTGTTTTTTTAAACTATTCTTAATCAGTCAGAGCATTTTGATAACGTGGGGAAAATAGCATAAAGTATGCAGTAGGTTGGTATCAAAATTTAATTAAACAAACAGGAAAGAAGGATGCTTCATTGCTTCTGACTTTTTGTTTCAATCAGGCTTTTCTTTTCTCTTTAGTGTGCTTTTAGTTATGGAGGCCACATGTTTGCAGCAGTTAATGGAAACATCATTCATATCTACTCTTTCACCACTTTTGAGAATCTTCTCAMTTTGAAGGCCCACAGTGGAAAGGTGAGTAAGGTCTGGAGAAAGCAGCTATACCAGTGAGTTTTGTAGTCATGTGTGGTGTCCATCTGTCATGCAGATAAGAAGCATTGAGTGGAGCCATGATGACAGCCGGCTGGTGTCATGTGGGATGGACGGAGCTGTGTATGAGTGGAACACACACACTGGGAAGCGACAGTCAGAGAGCATCCTCAAGTCCTGCAGCTACACAGATGTTGCCTTCTCATCACACTACAAGACCATCCTAGCTGTGGGAACAGACTYCACCCTGAAGGAGATACAGGACTGTCAGGTCAGGAGCCACAACATGCAGTATTATGAAAAGAACATAATCAAATATTTGTTTTATGTAAGCACAATGTTGGGAGTGAAAGGAAACAATTTGACTTTAGGTCAGYGTTGCTTTTAGAGTTTTGTTTATTTTTGGGCTCTTCTGCACAAGCTTTGTAGTCCATGGGCTAGGGTGGGTCATCGGTTTAAATCGAAGAGCTAATTGATACCAATCTGCTGATACCTTGTTTATRAAATTTGGTTTATAGCAAACTTATTGGCATTTAAGTTTTCTGTGCCCATKTGGTTATGGTTATAGTYACTGGGGGATGGAYAAAGAACCCAWATGATCRGGGGCCTCGTACGTGGGCACATTGCTCTCCCCAAAATGACACTGGTCTTTATTCAAACCTTTGTGTTCCTCGGATGAAGGACACAAGGTTAGAAACGCTCAGWGTTCTGAGCTTCTCAGGATCCATAAAGRGGTYCCCAAGAATTATTTTCGTTTGGCTGCTCAGAGCCAGGCAGAGGCCTRGTTGTGCAAACAGGTCTCTTATTCAATGCAACAGGCATCACACATACCATTGTCATGGAGTCCTATCACCATTTYGTGGCATTTGAGCAGATTGTGCCCAGTTAGGACTCCAACCAGTGTACTTAAAGTTTTCCTTGTGTATTTGTCAGGGCGAAGAGAGTTTTCCCAAACCTAAGATTTGGGCCGTTTAGTAGTTCCTGTGCCTGTCTACAGTCCATCAGCTCCCTCCAGCTGATTGAGTGTTGATGTCTAATCCAGGCCTGTCTGGCAGTCCTATATACTGTTTTTGAGATACTACAACAGGCTCTGGTCTTTTGAAGTGGACCTGACTGCCAGCTTTTGCAAGGCAGTCAGCTCTCTTGTTAATGCCAGTATGTCATTTTACCCATTTAACAGTAACAYTGTTATCTCTCCCCAGTTGGTTRGCTGCTTTGGCACACTCCCAAGCCAGTAATGACATAAAGTGTGGCCCTTGGAGAGCTCTAATAGCATCTGCTAGGATGAGTATTTCCTTCCGTGTACATTGAAGRTTTTTGAGAGATGTCACACACTGGTGGATTGCATAAATCTCAGCTTGAGATACAGTTGCAAAACCACCTAGTGGGTATTTGTCCTCTCTCTCACTATGGTTGTACAAAATCAGCACCCCTGTACCTACTGGCCCCCTCAGAAGGGATMTGTCTGTAAAACAGTAGAAATGATTGGGTGACATGTCCATCATAGTGAGGTGGACCTGTCTTCAACCTTTGTCTTAAAACTTGGCTCAAAATTGTATTTTTGGCCATTTTGTCTCCAGGTCCTGCAGTTACTGGAACAGCAGCAACTGCCCAGTCCCAGATTCTAGTGTACTGTGAATCAGATAGGTTTTTCCACCTACCAGATTGGCGTAGCCTTACTACACTGGATGCGGCCTCCCCTAACATATATAAATCTAGTGGAGTCAGGTCTAGTAGGACTTCCATGGCTGCCGTGGGTGTTGTTCTGATGGAACCTGTGATACTCAGGCAGGCTTTTCATTGCATATGAATAGCCTTGCCATCTCAACTTGCATCACTCTTGCCACCCCAACTTGGACTCCACCCACCATACTAAAGCAGCATAGCATAACAGGGCGGACTATGGCCATGTAGATCTTGGGGTGGCACCCCAATGACTACTTGCAATTCTACAGCAGTGGTGAAGACACATTTCCTTGCGATTTTCATTTACGTGTCTTTCCAGCTAAGCTTCCTGTCTAGATAGAGGCGCAAGAATTTAACTGACTCTGACAGGGAAAGTTCTACATCCTCCAACTTTGGAGGTGAGTAACCCTTCTTTGACTTATGAGTGAAAAGAACCTATTCTGTCTTGTTCGGGTTGACAGAAAGTTCCTGCTCCCAGCACCATCAGGATTAGTTTAGTCTCCTCTGCATTAAGTTACATACAGACAGAAGCCTTCTGTAAGTATGACCAAGTCATCTGCATACCCTTATGTATGGAGTARATTCATTCAACTCATTTAGTAAGCTGTCGACAACCAGTAGCAACACAGGGGCGAGATTACTCCTCCCCTGTGGACAGCCCCATCTGAGGTTAACAGCTATTGAACAGCTCCCCCAGAGTTGAAGATGCTTTCCTTATCTGAAGGAAATCATCCATGAAAATGAACCAGTTTGTAGTTGTCTCATCCACACCATTGCTGGCAAGTGCTCTTTCTAAATGTAAAATGGTAAATGGACTGTACTTATACATAGTGCCTTTCGATCCATCCAGGACACTTACAGATATTCACCCATGCACACACACATTCACACACTGATGATGGAAAGCTACATTGTAGCCACAGCTGCCCTGGGGTGCACTGACAGAGGCAAGGCTGCCATACACAGGCGCCACCGGACCCTCTGACCACCATCAGTAGGCAAGGCGGGTGAAGTGTCTTGCCCAAGGACACAACGGCATGTGAGCATGGCGGGGAGTCAAACCTGTGACTTGCGGGTCCCAAAGCCGGCTGCTCTACCACTACACCACAGCCAGCCCCTATTTCTATGTATATATTCTACAGGTCCATTGTCAAATGCCCCCTGTATGTCCAAGAAACAGCCAAGTGCATATTGTCCATGTGCCAGGCTGCGTTCTGTTCTCAAARCACCATCATGTTTCATGTAAGCCTTTTGTTGTTTTGCTGCCTTGACAGCTTTTGTTTTTGTTTAATAAACTTTTTTTTACTCCTCCTCTGTCTGGACCTGGGTTCATTCCTATGCACATCGTAACAAAAAGTACTTGTCAACTTGCCATCCACCAAGGGTAGACGACTGATGAGTGTTGACGGTGCCCAGGTTTTAACATCAGAGTTTTCCTTCTCCTTGGCAGGTTGCCTGTCAAGGCTATCGAGTCCCACCTGCTCATCTGCTTTTGGTTTGCGGCACCCTATTTGCCTTTCAGCTTATTCAGGCACACCCCTATACACCAGGAACAGGAATCACAAAATTAAGTGTCATCCAGGTTTTATGTCTGATGGAGCAGAGTAATATAAGTTGTCTAAAACTTGTCTTGAGTTTTTTGCTGAAGAATACAAATGTATTTTGTTTGTTTGTTTGTTGGTTCTCCAGGTTTTGAGGGAGGTTCCAGCTGATGAGGTAGCTCACACAGTTCTTGCAGTGTCTCACTCAGGTCGTGTTGTTTTTACCGGAACCTCCAGTGGAACCATTAGAGCCATTAAATATCCATTACCTATCCAGAATGAATGGACCACGCACCATGCTCACTGTGGTCCTGTGACCAAGGTGGGTCCAAACACTAGCAGAGCCAATCTTACTTACTCTTTAAAGCAGAATTTATAGTTCCCATCTTCTGAATGAGCTAAATGTCTAAACTGGCTAAAGTCTGCAGAAGTAGTTAGATTGTAAAAAGAAAAATGTTTGAAGTCATAACCAATGAATAGTGTGAATGCAGAATGACAAAATAATGTCAAAAACACTGAAACTGACCCCAATTTGTCCTCAGATGGTGATCACATGGGACGATCAGTTCCTGCTAACGGTGTCAGAAGATGGCTGCCTGCTGATATCAAAGATCGTCGATAAGGAGGGCCGAGGCCTGAAGAGCAACAGACAGATTGTTCAGATGGAGGAGATCCTTGTCACAAAGGCAGACCTGGAGCAGAAAGTTAGTTTTCATTAAGTTGAAAGTTTGCTGAGTTATATCCATTTTTGTTTAATGTCAGTTGGCTGTGGCAGCCATCTTGAATCTGGTTGACTCCAAAACATATTCAGTGTAGATGTACGGCACAGTGATTATTTTCTAWAAGTTTCATGTGATAATTTGGTAACAAATGCAAACACACACAAACAAAGGCTAAAACCTTCTTGTCTGTCTTTCCCTTTTGGTGGCAGATGATATAAATAAGTTCTTTGAATAAAATTACAACTTACTGCCCACTCCTGTGTTCCCATTTGTCTGATTTTCAGAAGCAGTCCATGCAGGAGCTAAAGATGTGTCTGCAGGAGCTGCAGATGGAAAATGAGTACCAGCTCTACCTGAAGGACATGAGCTACAAAGAAAAGCTGAAGGAACTTTCTGACACGTTAACGCAGGAAGTTGAATCTCTGAAAACAGCTCAAAAGGTTTAGCACTCTGAGAAATMAGCTTTAATATCAGAACATGAAGGATGTTTCATGAAGCAGCAAACATTTATTTGCTACACAAAGATGAAGCAGTGTAATGCTTTTATCAGAGCACATTCTGTTTGCTTCTGTGAGTATCMTGTTCCATCCTGAGCCTGGTTCTGGTTCTGCTGGAGGTTTCTTCCTGTTAAAAGGGAGTCATTTCTTTCYACTGTCGCCAATGTGCTGCTCAGGATGAGAAACTGAGACGAAATAAAGATTCAACACAACCTGCTGCTTTCTTAGATTAATAACTTATACTAACTGTCTTTTATAATGTAAGAGAATGTTTTAGACAGTGCAGTACTCTGAGATTACCTTTGTTTATAATTATTTTGGTTCTGTATAACTGAACGGAGCTGAATTGTTCATGAGCTCTGCATTGTGACAGGAGGTTTGGCTGCTAAATTAATTTATAGAAATCCTTAACTTATACTTAGCAAATGACTTCCTTCTKACACAGAGACAGTACCAGAGTCCTCCTGACTTCTGATTCTACTGTTTTAACTCTTCACATCAAAACAATGAGCTGAGTGTGAGGAGCATCTGTTGATGTTTCGATCTGACTGCTGAAATGCTGTCTAACATTATTGGATGAGAGGTGMTGGGCAGCCAACCTTCTCTTTACTCCCACCTTTTCATTAAACCATTTTACATTTGTACTTATATAATGTATATTATGTCTTAATATTTCATATTATCTTAGTCAGTTTGATAATAAACATTTCTAGATTGTAATCATTTGTTTTGGCTCKGTATTATTTTGTACAGTAAGAAGACTACAAATCATCTTTGCATTTTCTCATCCTAAACTGTAGCTCATGAAAGCAAAGATGGAGAAGAGTGAACATGAGAACCAGGACAATTCTGTAAAAGCTGCAATGAAGCACGCCAAAGAACTGAAGGATTTAGGTGAGAAAAGAACAGCACGGATGTTCAAATAGTACAAATATGTTGCTCTTTATTCTCATGTAACACAGAAGGTGACAGTGAAAACCTTATGTTTTTTTCCTGTCTGTYAGAAAATGTCTCAGGAACATGTACAACATGAACATTCTGTCAGATATTGAGCTAACATTTGATGTGGTTGTAGCTTCACAACAAATTCCCAGTCTGTCATCTCACAACACTGCATGGTCACACAGAATGTTATTTTCAAGGTTTGACCAGAATGGCTACAATTCATTCCTTTCTCATTGCTCAACAGAGGCATCCTTCACCTTAAAGCTTACAGAGCAGCAGAGGAAGTACCAGGATCTGCTGCAGAAGCATGACAGAATGCAGGAAGAATATGAGAAGCAGCTGAAGTGTGCAGAGGAAAGCAGAACCCAGGCTCTGGAGGAGCTCACTCAGATGTATGAGATGAAGCTGCAGGAGAAGACTCAGCTCCTGGCTCAGGTCTGTCTCAAGGAGCTTGACGAAGAGGACGAGGCAGGGCTTAAAGTTCTGAGTTTGATTTTACTGTGGTCATGTTTCCAACCAGTGTCAGGAGGAGATGGAGCAGAAGATCTGTGAGTTTGAAGAAATRATAAAGCAGGTGGAGGAAGACGAGGAGACGAGTATCCATGCCATCCAAATCAAGTATGAGAAAAAACTGCATTCAGAGAAAGAGACCAACGCACACCTGAAAGGAAAATCTGGTGTTATGACACAAAAGGTGAGTAAAGCTCTTATTACGCAATGAAATATTGCTTCTATCAAAAATTATATTACTTCTTGTTCTTAAAAGAGACATTGCCAACTATAAGTGCTCATTCACATGCGAAGAGTTTTTGTGTRTTATTCAAAAGTTTTCTCTTTTATTCAGCTTTATGTGCACACAAGTGTAAGAGCCCCTAAACAATATTCTTCAAAATTAGGTTCCAGAGTGAGAAAACCATGAAGTTTTCATGAGACATAAATGTCAACCCCTTTGGATGTTTACCTGTATAATGAGCCTCAAAAATCCATTACTTTTGCAAAATATTCTGTATTAATCACATGGAGATGACAGCACCTGCAGCGCAAAGCTGGAGGAAATGAGGATGGGAAAACTTATTTCTAGCAGCAGAGCAGGATGGAAGATCCTTAATAATGTTATTTATTGTTGTTTAGCATCCTACAGGCTCTGATATTAAATAAATTTTAAAATTAATTTTTGAAAAAATCTGTAAAACCTGAAAAAATCTGTGAAATTGCTCTATACATCCGAATTCCTGTAAGATGACAATGAAAGTCCGTGTAAATTACGAACAGTCCGTGCAACTTCACATGTATGATGAGAACAGCCTGAACACTTGTTTTTGAAAACAATGATGTCATAAACGCACCTCTAATCTGACCAAAAAGGTTTTTTATCACTTCATTAAACTGTCAACAACACAAAAACAACAAAACTTTACAGGAAAAAATACAAAATACTTTAAGTATCAATATAAAAAGGTGGTTAATGGGAATAGTTTTAAAGCAGATACTTTGAAATAAATGCAAGAACTGTTCATACAAACGTATTTGTTCTTAAAGAGGAACTTACCCCAAAATCAACTCTTTTTTGCATAAATTGTCTAAACTGTGCCCTAAGGGTAATACCTTTCTATTKATGACTAAAATTCAACATCTTGGGCTAAAATTGTTTAAATGTGTAATATTGTGTCTAAAAACGTCTTTGTGCTGCTCTCCATGGGTTTAACTATGGCTAATACCTTTGAATTTTGTTATTCGTTCAAAAAGTACCGTATGATGTTGCTGGTACTGTGTGACATCTCACCGTGGG